AACACATGACCTGCTTTGATTTTGATCTAGCTTTCCCAACACCTTTTTTAACCATACTCCCTGACGTGCACATGAAGTTGCTGCAATGAATTCTGCCTCTGTGGTAGATAAACTCACTACTGGTTGCTTTTTTTATGACCAAGAAATTGCCCTTGAGCTTAATAAAAAAACATAACCTGGAGTGCTCTTTCGATCTTCCAAATCTCCAGTATAATCACTGTCAGTGTAAACAACAAGTTCATCATCTCCTCCCTTCCTATAGAAAATCCCAAAATCAATTGTTCCTATCAGATACCATAGCACCCTTTTTGCTGCCTGTAAATGTAGCTCAGTAGGATTCTCCATAAACCTACTAATGATACTCACTACAAACATTAAATCTGGCCGAGTAGCTGTGAGGTACATGAGACTCCCTACTACTTGTTTGTAGTAAGTCTTATCTACCTTAACTCCCTCTTCATCTTTCACATGCTTACAACCAGGAACAATATGATTAAAAATAGAGTTACTTTTGTCCATTCCAAATCTGTTGAGTACCTCTAAAGCATACTTTTTCTGACTTATGAAAATACCATCAGATTTTTGCAAGACTTCAAGGCCAAGAAAATATCTCATCTTACCAAGATCAGTCATATCAAACTCATGCTTTATGGAATGTTTAAATTCAGCAAACATTAATTCATCATTGCCAGTAAAGATTAGATCATCAACATATAAACTAACGATCAAAACTTTACCTTCCTTGTTAGTTTTGATGAACAAGGTATGCTCATAGTCACATTTTTCAAAGACTTCCTTCATGAAATATGCTTCTATACGACTGTACCAAGCACGAGGTGCTTGCTTGAGCCCATAGAGTGCCTTCTTTAACTTATAAACCTTTTCCTCATTTCCTTTTTGCACATAACCACAAGGTTGCTCGACAAAGACTTCTTCATTCAACTCACCATGCAAGAATACAGATTTCACATCTAACTGATAAATGGACCACCCTCTTTGAGCTACAAGTGCAACTACAAACCGAATTGTTTCCATACGTGCCACAAGTACAAAAACCTCAATATAATCTACCCCATATTGTCGTGTGTAACCCTTTGCCATAAGCCGAGCTTTGTGCTTTTATACTTCTCCATTTTCATTAAACTTAGTCTTGTAAACCCACTTTACTCCAATTGTTTTTCCTCCCTTAGGTAATTCTGTCAATTCCCATATGCCATTTTTCTTTATCGCTTCCATTTCTACATCCATAGTTGTTCTCCATTTCTCACTTTTAACAGCTTCTTCAAAATAAATTGGATCGGCAGCTGCAAACATAGCAAGTTGGACTTCATGCTTTTCCTCAGAAAAACCTTCTCCTGTCTCATAATTGCTCATCCAAACAGGTGGTCTTCTATTTCTTGTTGCATTTGAATTGGAAGGGCTGTCTCTGTTTTGAATTAATAAATCAGATGCAGTGACTGCAACATCAAATTCAATGGCTACAGCAGTAGCATTATTTTCTTCTGTGTCTTCTTCTATATCATCTGCAAAAGCTGAGTCACTTTTTTCTTCATTCACAGTAGCTTCTTCCCCATCATCACCCCATTCCAGATCACACACGATGACTTCTTTATACTTCTTATCCCAATCCCAATTCTTGTCTTCTTCAAATACAACATCCCTACTAATTACGATCTTTTGAGAAATTGGGTCATAAAGTATGTAAGCCTTTGATTCTTCACTAACTCCCAGCAATACACAACGAAAACTCTTATCATCAAGCTTTGTTCTTTTACTGTCAGGCACATGAACATGTGAAATGCATCCAAAAACTCTAAAATAGTCAACTGAAGGTTTGAGCTTACCCCAATCTTCTTCTGGAGTTTTGTTTTGTATTGCAAAGGTTGGACTTCGATTCAAAACATGCACCGTCCAATTTACAGCTTCAAGCTCAAAGGTTTTGGGAAGTTTTTTCTCCGATAACATACTACGAACCATATTCATAATGGTTCTATTCTTGCATTCCGCAACTCCATTCTGTTGTGGTGTATATGCAGTTGTTAGCTGTCGTCGTATGCCATGAACATCACAAAAATTTGCAAATTCTTGGGATGTGAACTCGCCACCTCGATCAGTACACAAACTTCTAAGAAATGAACTTGTTTCCTTCTCAACATGAACCTTAAAACTCTTGAAAGCAGCAAGGGCTTCTAATTTTTCTACCAAAAAATAAACCCATGTTTTTCTACTAAAATCATCAGTGAAAGTGAGCAAATACCTTTTCTTGCTGTTTGAGATTGGATTGATCGGTCCACAAATGTCTGCATGCACTAACTGTAGAATTTTAGCAGCTCACCAGTTGCTTTTCTTTGGAATTGAAGGCCTGTGTTGCTTTCCCACCAAACAATCTTTGCATAGTTTAGAGGGAGGCTGAAATTGTGGTAATCCATTCAGCATCTTCCTTTGTTGAAAAGTCTTTAAACCTTGAAAACTCAAGTGGCCATATCGATAATGCCAACACTGCAAAATGTCTTCTGTGAACGTGTTCAAACAAGTAGATGAAATAGGTTGGGATAGAGTATGCAACACAAACATCCGATTAGAAGACATTTTGGTTTCCATAATCAAACCTTTTTGTGAATGAAACACCTTACACTTTTCATGTTGAAACAAAATGGTAAGCCCTTTTTCTTACAATTGTCCAATACTCAACAAATTATTCTTCAACTCGGGGACATAAAAGACTCCTGTGATAATTTGTGTCATTTCATCCCCTTTTCTAATACAGACATGCTTGTGTTGTTCCCAAGCTTCACTGAATCTCGAAAGGTTCCATCAAAATCTGAGAAATAATCCTTTTTTCCACACATATGATTGCTGCATCCAGAGTCCAGAAACCATGTATCTTCTTGACTGATTTTGTTTAGATCCACATACGCCATCAACAACATCTCCTCTTGATTCTCTGCATAGTTTGCCTCTGTCTCTTGGCTCGGACATTCCCATGCAAAATGTCCTAGCTTGTGACAATTATAGCACTCCACTGTGGCCTTATCAAAAGATCTCCTGTTGCACCCTCTTCCTCTTCATCTATAATTTGCACGACCACGACCTCTGCCTCCAGAGTGATCTCCATGCGTAACTTTCAAAGCCTGTTCTTCTTCTAACACATGAGAGTTCATGCGTTGTTCATGTACAATAAGACTACTCTGCAACTCATCTATGGTTAAAGTGTCTAAATCTTTAGACTCTTCAATGGAACAAACAACATAATCAAATTTGGAAGTCATAGATCGTAAAATCTTTTCAACAACAACAATATTTCCTTTATCCTCACCATTAACTTTCATTTTGTTGGCAATGGCAAGGGTGCGAGAGAAATATTCGTTCACAATTTCTCCTAGCTTCATGTGAAGAATTTCGAATTCCTTTCTCAGAGCTTGCAAATTTCCACACTTCACTCGTGTGGTACCCTGATTTTCTGCTTCATAGAATCCCATATATCCTTCGCAATTTTTTTTTTTAGAATTGTCTCTAGGATAGAACGATCAAATGCCTGAAATAGATAGTTCTTTGCCTTCAAATCCTTTAACTGCTGATCTTCATTGTGCTTCCTCTATGCATCTGTGAGAACAACACCTTCAGCCACTGCAAGAACTCCATTCTCCATAATTCCCCAATACTCCTTTGAACGTAAGAAGTTTTCCATGAGCATTGCCCAGTGATCATAGTAGCCATCAAACTTCGGAACAGCTGGCTGGACAAATGAACTCTCTGTCGTCATCGTTCAAGTAAAACACACGTAGAAGACTGCTGCTTCTAAATAATCAGGCCCCTGTGAGTGGCTCTGATACCAAATGTTAGAAAAATAGAAGCTGAACAAATAGTACAGATGAAACTGGAGGAAATCAACTTAACTTCATTGAATAATAAACTTGGCTATTATATAGCCTTACAGAGCAAATAGAAATAACTGAACAAACATGAAAATAGCCCATGTCTAAACAACTCCCACAACGTGCTGAGAAGACCAAATAAGCAAATAATAGAACCCAAAAGAAAAGGTATTTATAGACGTAATGGTAACTAACCACTAAACCAGTAAAATAAACATAAACACTAACACATTCGTAGATATTTTCATGATTACATCATCAAATTAGGTAAACTCACTACCTCTATACTCTATTCTCGAGAACCTATCCCCGTAAAATTAAGCCATATTCAAGTATCTGGAAACTTCGAATTACCTATAAAGTTGTATCGCCAACACTTTGGAATTCTTTATACGATCTAAACTCTTTATTATAAAGAGTTTATCAAAAAACAAGAGTATAATAAACTCTTTATCCTTTAAATATAAATTAAAGAGTGAGTTTGACTCTCCACATTCAAATTTAACTCTCTATCTTAATTTTAATTAATAAACTACAAGTTTTTATACATTTTATTTATTAATTCTCTCTCTTAGTAAGTTTTTTTCTTAAAAATAAATAGCATTTTCATTAAATTTAAAGAATCCATTAGATTTAAATAAAAAATTTATTCTTTATATTTAGAAATTAATGAAGATACTTTTCATTTATATGAAAAATACTCTTTAAAATAAAAAAAACACAATTCTTACAAAATTAAGTGAAGTAATTGTTAATTGGATCACAGAGAGAACTTTTTGGGCCTCCATTGAAGCCCAATATTTTAACGATGCATTTACCTATGACTTTCAAGAGAAATTGTATTTCTTACAAGTAAAGCTGGTGCGGAATATCCTTTGTAAGGGTGATTTATTCCTACTCCTTGATGGGATCAACATTAAAAGATATGATATTGCATCTCAGAATTATAATGTGAATGCACAGGTAGTCTGTCAGCTAGATTCTATTAGCATCAGGTATAATGTCTTAATCCCGTCTAACTTGAATACGGGAAATATTAATTATTATACAAATGGCATTGACAAATAATTATGAACAATTATCCGACATGGTACACTACAAGATCAACTTCAGAAAGTCCTACAATGAGAAAATTCTACCTTCTTGGTTACTACTAAAATGTACATGATAGCATGCTTCTACAAAAACTAAAAGAGATGAAATCATTTGCTCTTCGATGAAGACCCCTTTTTCCTTTTCTTAGATGGATTAATCCTGCCTCTAGTACAGTTGGGACAAAACCAATCTTCCTCTGGAACATTTTCAAGTGGAGGATCACAACAGTGAATATGGGTACCAACCCCGCAACCAACAGAACCACTTTCATCACCGCATATCAGCATAACTTCTCCTCTATCAGTACTGCCACAAACTTGGCAACTTATATCATTGTCGTCACAACTATCTGGAGGACCTAAGTCCGCGACTGTTTCTTCAGCCTTGCTGAGCATTTTAGCAAAAGATTTCTCTGCCCAAGCGTGAGTGTTGTATAGCACATGTCGCTCAAGGGAATAACCAGGCTTGCAGACAAACTCCACTAGGTAATCAGCCACTACGCAGGGTACCTCATGTTTTAAGAACTCTTGGACCCAAAAATCAACACGTGGCATGCCAGGACTGACAACTGCAAAGTCAACCCCAGATTTGAGGAAACGAGTATAAGGGGGAGAAGTTGCTAATATGTTCCCATCTCCAGCCTTGACTACACGCTTCAGAGTATCCTGGATGACCATAAGGAAGATAATTATTTCAGAAGGACAAACGGAAGCTAACTCTGACCATCATTTATTTAGTTAAAGGAAACCCTATCACTTAGACGACAATTTACTAAATAAATACATATTAACGAGGAGATATGATAGAATTTGAATGCAAAATTTTTTTCACCAAAATGAAGACTGGAAAAAATTTATACCAAAGGTGGCGCAATGCATTCTCCGTACACAATAATGCACATTCCATAGAAGGCACCATGACCTGTTCTCTCCCTTAAGAGCCGCCACTTCCTTGGTGCCTCTAAGTTAATAGCACCGTCTTCACTAAGACCATTTTTGTGCCATTCGTAAGGTTCCTCTGGCAAGAACTTCCCTGCCTGATTACAAGCACTTAAATAATCTGTCTTAAGAATCCACCTGCACACAAGACAGAATCAAATCAACCATCTGCTAGAACAAAGAGGATAAGATAGCTAATGCTTGATATCTGCAACTATCCGCAAAAAGAGGAAAGTTTTTTCACAGAGAATATGCCAAGTGGAGAATAAACCATATATCAACTTATAGGAGACAATATTTAGTCAAAACTAATAAGCAAAGTTTGACGAGGTGCTTCACCTTCCAGATGCAGCAGCCGCGAAGAACTTCTCTGTTCTTCTTGGATCAGGGGCTATGAAATGTGTTGCCTGGTATGACCACTGATGAGAATCTCTGCAAGATCTTCCTTTCAAACGCCTTATAACTTGTTGAAACTCCTTTCTCTGCAGTCTGTGTCCACTCAATATAAACCATACAGGTTCAATATTCCATCTGTTTGGAACTTCTTGCATTGTTGTTGCCTTCTCTGGTGTCTTAAAAGATTTAAGAACTGATTTCCGAACACCTGAACTTGAAGTTTGGTTTTTGACAACTGGCCTGTTTTCCTTTTCCGCTTCCATGGAGTTCTCCATTACAGACACAGTGCTACCACAAGTTTTGTTTCCAGGATGCAGCACACTTTTATCCATTTCAGAACCTTCCTCTGTTCTATTTTCATTCACGGTATCTTCCTTATCCACATCTCTGTTAGATTCCACCGTCTCCACATCAGCAGGTACATTCTTTGACTTGGCCTTACCTGCTGGCCGTTTTTTCCTTATATTTAGTTTCCCTTTCATACTCTCCACTTTCGAGGTTGATTCATTAGTGTCAAACTTCTTGCGGCAAACTGTCTTTCCCAATTCAGTTCCATTCGTCCCTTCCTTTGCAGCCATTACATCATGTGAACTCTTACTGGTACCATTTGCTGCATGTCTATCTCCAGGTTCTACTCTCATCATTGTATCTTCTTTTTGTATCAATTCAACCACCCCAGACTTCTCATGGTTTAGTTGCTTGTCAAGTTCATCTTTCTCATCAGGAGACTCAGTCTCATCATCCATGGGCTTAGTCTTATTACTAGTCGCATCATCACATCCTGTAACAGCATTTATATCCAGCTCATTTACAGCTTCAACACTTCTGGTTGGAGCGGACGTCGCACTGACCCTAGTCAACTTCTGTTGATCGGTTCTCTCCTCTCCCCCATTTGAACAAACTGCAGGATCATTTAGGGAGGAAATTTTACTCGAGTAAATGGAACCCTTTTGATTAGCAGCATGTCGAGAACCCAATGTCTTTTTGGCAATCATCTTCTTCCTAAGTGGCCCTGCAATCAACTTATGATTTCCTCCTTGGACTGAGTTCAAGTCAACAGGTGTATGTGATTTCTCCATCTCGAAATCTCTATCCTTGGGTGATGAAACCTTAATGTTATGCTGCTGATTCTGTGGCTCGCCTGCCTGAGCTTCAATATCAAGCTTGGTTGCCAAGATGGACTCTTTCAGTCCTCTGAAAGACGATTGAGGGGCCTTATCAGCATTTTCATTTTGCCCAGTCTCAAAGGTCATAGTTTCAAAGGAAGGCAGATCAGGGGTTGGTGGTTTCTTGTTAAAAAAAGAGGAACCGTCATGGGGATTAAGTGCAGAATTCAAATCAGCAGTGTCATCTGTATAATTATTGTGAAGGGAGAAATGGTTATTATTCTCAAGTGGCTGACATGCGGGAGATTTTGGATCCAAAATTTTAGTCCTATAAGTGACTATTGGACTTCTGCCGCATGCTGTTGCATTATGACTCGTCTTTTGCGACTTTGAACTAGCACTAGACATATTTGTCATACTCTTTGCAGGTAACCAACCACTGGACTCTGCCTCCTGACATGATTCACCCTTTCTCTGAGGAGTTTTAACATAACCTGTGGCAGTTCTGGCCTCTTCCGGTTCAACTTTGGAGGAACTGGTGACAAGAACCTCATTGACTTTGAATCCACCTAGGTTTGCTTCAGGAGATCCACTTATATTGCCAGATACTTTTAAAACGGAAATTGAGGATGGGGATTTCCAAGGGGTTTTCCTCAAGTAACTTACAGAATATTTTGACTCGGAACAAGGAGGCAATTCAGCTCCATCAGAGGTAGATGCCAAATCATTTTTCACTCTTGTAGAATTTGGAGTCCTCTCAAGCAGAGGATCCCTAAAAGCATCAGAGTCTTGCAAACCACACACCTCAGGAACATTAACATTATCAAGACTTGGGAATTGATGAGATCCACTCACTTTGACAGGAGTTGATAATATGTCCTTAGCATTCACATTTGAAGGATCTGCAGGTACTGTTGAATTTAGCAGCATTTTTGGCACCTCCATTGCTGTTTTTGGTGATTGATGGGCACTTGCTACAACTACTTTCAAATTATGCGGACTCTTACTCATGTCTTTCCCACCAAATTGCTTCAAAATGACATCTTCAGCCTCTTCTTCAGAATCTTTAGCTTCAGCTTCCATCATCTCCAATTCATAGCCACTGTGAGAAGAAGAATCACTATAAAATCAGTGGATTCTTACTTTTAAAAAATCCTTTCACCATATTTTCCTATGGCACCTTGAACTTGCCAGAGAAGCATTTGAAAAGCAAAAGGCCATAAATTAAGAAATCAAGCAAAGAACCTTAGACATAATATATAAGTCAATTAAAGAGTTCAATAAGTAAACAATAAAAGTAAATATATGTTCGCCCCACTATAGCATGTCATGAAGATGTCTAATTCTATCCATATTTCATAAGTTATAGAAATAACAGGCCAAACATACATACTTTTATACCAACTCAACTCTTAAACAGAATATTACAAATATACATATGCATTTCAAAAAACCAAATTGTTATTTAGCTACATTATAGTTAACAAATACAATTTTATTTTATCGCACAAGAAAAAGATGATAAACTTTCCCAATGCATAGATACATTTAGTGCAACATAAGAAAAGAGAACAAAATATTCAAATACCTCACCTCTTGTCATAGTTAGCTTCTGGAAGAAGATCCCAATCCCTTAAACTACAGAAAAGAGTGAGTAAGATTAAAAAAAAGAACCAAAAAAAAAAAAAAAAAAAATTCATTGAAGAATGATGCAGCAAATCTTTGTTAAACTATTTAAAAAATACCCCTACGTATATAAGTGTTAAAAAATTACACGGTATTTCATTAGTATGCACAACAACGCTTCAAAACATGACAGAAAAATAAAATCTATAATCATACCAATCTTCCAACCAACGGTGGTTAACAAGCTTTATCTTCTTCATTTTCTTAGCCAGCTCATACTTCTCACCTGTATAAATTAACAAAGCTTCATTAAAATACCATTCTAATAATGCTCCCTGGTCAGGAGAAAATTTAGCAAATATGAATTTATCATCTGTGTAAATCATAAAAAACTAGTTTATCCATGTAACAAAATGAACTGTCTTTATAGAGAAGCTTCATGTAGAATGCAATGCAGATAATACGTGTGAGAGATTAACCAGTCAACCCCCACAGTTCAATTAAACAGAAACATTATCTGCATTGTGCTACCTAGATCCAATGAACAACAAACCATATAAAACAAAAGAGACTTGATGAGATGGATGAGAGCATTGCAAATTACAAAAGTACTTGACAGATAGTTTTCATGACTTTGGATAATGAAAACATCAAAAACATACCCTCAAATTTGTAGCAGACGAGATGTGTAACTTTGTTTGCCACCAGTGGTTTAGAAAATAATGCACCCATCAAGCCAACCATTGTCTGAGAACAGAAAAATTTACTCAAACACTGGGCAAAATCAAACAATCAGAAGTCATAAAGCGGCAAAAAGGAAGGGAATCACATACCATTATGTCTTCTCGATCTTGTCGCTGATAACCAGTCAAGCATACAACTAAACCTTTGGCACCTGGAATTCCATTCAAATCTTTAAGTGGTCTGTACATAACCTGCACAAATGAAATGTTAACAACAATTGCACGTAGCACTAACACAGAGAGTGAAATAGAAGTCTCAGGTACCAAACTAATGAAGCATGTTGTAAAAAAAGTAAAAGTGAATGAAGCGATTATGAATATTCTAGACCCTGCATTATTGCATATAACATATGTTCCACAAATTCATACTAGATTGATACGCATTTTCATTATTTGTCAACCTAATCCGAAGAATTTGAAAAAGAATAAAAGTGACAAAATCCAATGAAATATTCACAATAGATGGGTTTGTTCAACGCCTGGAGGGAAGAACACAATTGAATTTAGAACTGAAATTGACTACCCATAGTAATAGTAAGTACAAAATATTTGCTTATTTGTGAACAGAGTGAATATTCCTTAAAAAAAGAAAATGAATAAGAATCTCACTGAATTAGCATCAACAGGCATTCCAACATCATAACTATGATCAACCCACAATGATGTGATGAGTGTCCTTCCATCATTTCGTGCAGCAACACAGATAGGATCGTCCTACACCGCAAAGTAAGAGTAAACACCGACTCAATTTTGATAATAAATAGTGAATCATAACAAGAAACCACGAGCGCACAAATAAAAATAAACTCTAATTTCCAATTAAGCAGACATTAAAGCATGCTCAGAAGTCTGAAAATAAAATCTATCGACAACTACGTAAAATCAAAAACAGGACTTACATAAGTAATCCTATCCACAATCACGTGAGTGCAGTTTTGGCCGTACCGGCCAACATCAACTCCACCTCCATGAACTACCTTCGACCGAACCTGCAGATTTTGGTGCGAATTTAACAAATAAATAAACAAATAAAAATGGTTTACAATTCAATCAATTCTGCTAACAGACACTGAATAGTAATAGATAGAGAGAAGAGAACGAAATACCTGATGCTCATTGATTGGGTCGAATCCAAATAGAACGAAACGGACGCCAAGAAACGGTTTGGATAAGGAATCGATTTCCATGCTTTAATTTAAAATACCTTGGGGAAATAAACAAAAACTTTAATGTGAATTTGCAGAAGAAGAGAAAATGTATAAAGGAAGAGTGTTGTGTTGTGGAATCTAAAATGAAAGAGGGTATAGGAGTGAAGTGAGTGCATAACAAAACAGTCAAAACTTGTAAAGGAAGGAGGAAATACTGAGAGGAGGGAATTATTAATTTCAATAAAATGTTCAATTTTGGTGCACTGGCGGGAGCGGAAATTCGTGGTTGCACGCGGTGTCTCCACGTGACATGCTGAATAAGGCTCCACGCATTGGAAATGAACAAACCTAGTGGGTATTATTGATCTAATGCATCAGTTCGATTACCAATTTAATTGTCCATTCTTACCCTTGAAAAAGATCCTGAGTCGATTGATTTTAGAATACCTAAGCATGAATTAGCATCATAAATGAAATTAAAAATGATTTTATTATTTTTGTCAGAAAAAAAAAAAAAATTCCCCTGTTACTCACAGTAAATTTTATGCTGGGATAATTACTTTTGTTGCTTCAAAGTGTAATATATAATTTTAATGGATAAAATGTACTTAAACTTAACCTCAGGACGTAAACTTATTCCAAATTTAATGAGCCATCGCCCATCGTGTCGTAGTGGTTGAGACTTGAGATTTAGATGAGTCAAATTGATTAAGAAAGATGAAAAAGGAAAAAACAGATAGAAAAAAAAAAATAGACAAATTGCAAACTAAAAGGGCAAAAAGGTAATTTGTCGTACCACCGTTTTAACTTTTATGAAGACACCGAAGAAGCAAGCGAAAATAGCTGAGACAAACACTGTTTTTAGTGACGTGGCGCGATAAGATGTAGCCACGTGCAGTTCCGTCAACGAACCGTCTTGAATCACATTTTGTAAACTTGGTAGGTGTTCCCTTATCAAGTATAAAACCTAGCAGTTTCTTCTTCAAGCGTTGTTCTTCTTCTTCCGGCACAGAGAGAGGTAATGGCTTGGTTAACACGATTCCTAGGGGCAGTGGCTTTCTTAGCCATCGGAGTTATATTTTCTCCGGAAACATTTGGATCGAATTCGAAGGGTTTGAATTCCCCGAAGCTATCGACGCTCCTTAAGCTGGCTCATCTACTCTGTTTCTCCACCGCTTGGGGTGCGGCTCTTTGGGTCACCTTTATCGGCGGCATCATTATGTTCAAGTACGTTCTTCTTCTTAGCCCCAATTCCGCACTTGACACTTCCTTTTTTCTTATGTTTGATTGTTTAGGGTATTGTGTGTTTCTGTAAAATAATAATTTAACCTAGCATAATTCAGAGACTTAATTGAGTGTAAATAATGTTAATTCTATAATATAAATTTTTGAAAAAGAAATATTTAATCGATCCATGCTTTTCCTTTTGTAGATTGACGTAGAAACCAATGCAGGACAATTATTATTGTTTTCTTTTTTTTTCTGAAATGATGATTAAGAAACATGGAGTTTTTTCCTTAATGAAATTAGGAATCTACCGAGGCATCAGTTTGGTAACCTACAAAGCAAAATGTTTCCGGCTTATTTTTCCATGGTGGGATTGTGTTGCGCTATATCAGTGGCGTCATTTGCGTATTTACATCCATGGAAGTCATCCTCCACTAATGAAAAGTATCAGCTCGGATTTCTACTCTCTGCTTTTGCTTTCAATCTCACCAATTTGTTTGTATTTACTCCCATGACCATTGAGGTAACTAACTTACTCATCATTCTTCACTTTCTTTTGACGTTTATATGATATGCAGTGAGGCTCATAATTATGAATTGTTTCATTCCACGATTTCCCAACTGTTAGGGTCTTGTCTTATTTTACGTATAAGCTTCTCTGTGAGACCGTTTGTTCCTTCCATTCGTTCAGGATCACTTTAGACTTGGTGGTTTTGAGTTCAAAGGCTGCTTGTTTAGTTTTTGATGAAACAGTTCTGGAAGTCTTTTTCTTTTTACAATGAGGATAGTTGAATTATATGCCTTCTTTTGATGGGCTATTTTAGAATTTTATTGATATGTGATTTTGCATTGTTTTTTGTTTTGTAGATGATGAAGCAAAGGCACAAAGTGGAGAGGGAAGAAAACATAGGGGATGAAGTTGGGTGGACTAAAAACAGGGAAGTTGCAAAGGTTAATCCAAAGCTTGCAGCCATGAACAAGAAGTTCGGGATGATTCATGGGTTATCATCCCTCGCTAATATTATGTCATTTGGCAGCCTTGCTATGCACTCATGGTACTTAGCTGGTAAGATCGATCTGTAATTGAGGTCTTTTGGCATTTGCAGGGAAAGTTGTATTCTGGTTATAGATTAAATTAATGAAACGAGGACTGTTTGTGCTCTCTCAGGTTTGTACAAGATATGTGTAATTCACCTATATATCAACTTAAATAATAAGTCTTTCTCGTTACTTCAAAATAAAATTTGATAGAATTATATGTGGAACATTTGAAGCATGCCCAGTTCGCCTTTTTGGCTGTGTTATTTATGAGAATAGAATATCCAAGAATGGTACTAAAGACCAAAGCCTTTATTACACTAACTAAGTATTTGGTTGATAACAACTATGCACTGCTTTGCAACAATGAAAATCTTGTAAGATATATGCTCAAACGCAAGATATCCTGATTTGCCTATTGAATTTCATGGAAGTTTTCAAGTTAGTAGGAAACCGGTTTATACAGGCACTAATCCTAACATGAAATCGATTTTTTTTTTTTTTTCCTGGTTAGAATGAAACATCCATTCCTCAACAAACAAGGCATACAAATGAGATAACAACATACATAGGAAAGCCATGGTCTAGAAATCAAACAGCCTAATCCAATTGGATATTAACATAATTTATCCTAAAGACAACCAAGTCAAAGGCAGAGAATCTAAAGCTACTAACCTTACAATCTCATGTGTTGACATATTAGCTTTCCTACTGGTCCATTGAAACTCAACTAAGGAACAAACGAGGGCAAGGTTGTGAATATCTCTCACGAAACCATCAATCTCCCAAAAGGCTTTCTCCTTTTCGGCAGGTCATAATAAGATCCAAACAATCTGTTTCTAGTAAGATCTTACTCAAACCCAAATTGGAATCCAAAACTATAGCTTCTCTAACACTTCTGCTACATGGGTCGTTGTAGCGAAAATTTTTTTTGCTTGCCCCGTTAACAATCTACCTCCGTTGTCCATTACTACAATTTATGAGAGAGTACTTCATAAAACTGCATAACAGTTGATTTTAAACCAATCAGTAGTAGGGGGGCTCCAATTATTGCAGAATGAGGTGGATGACTTGCAGGATTCGACTTCCACATTTAGCATGTTAATACAATCTATGAGAGAGTACTTCATAAAACTGCATAACAGTTGATTTTAAACCAACGCAGGGGGGCTCCAATTATTGCAAAATGAGGTGGAAGTTGGGCGCTCAATCACGTTAACAGATGACTTGCAGGATTCGACTTCCACAATTAGCATTTTAATATAATTTATGAGAGAGTACTTCATAAAACTGCATAACAGTTGATTTTAAACCAACCAGCAGGGGGCAGGGGGCTCCAATTATTGCAGAATGAGGTGGAGGTTAGGCGCTCAATCACGTTAACAGATGACTTGCAAGATTCGACTTCCACATTTAGCATTTTAAATTGCTGAACTGCCTGTATTGGATTAATTTTTGCTCCCATAAACACCACTTCATTATGCATTTTCCATATTACCCAGCAAAGATTGAGGATATAGGCTTTGACACTTTCTAAGTTTTCCAAAGATAGAAGACAGCATGGAGAATTTTTCCAACATCCAGTCTTCCAGTTTAAGTACTTGAAATCGATTGAAAGTTGCTTGGGTGTGCAGTGTACTATACAATTTCCTTTGGGCTTTGAGAATTGAGACCCAATAACTATTAGATTCAGATAAAGCGAAGTTGGTCTGGGCCTTGCACAAGCCTTACATAGTTCCGCCGCTGCAGTAAACCTCTGACAAATCAATATTCAATATATGTAAACAGGAATTATCTGGAATGTTTATGAAGTTTGATTGGCCAAAATATAATATCTTATTGATAAGAACTCAGAAATTTAAAATTAGACGCCTCTATATGCAGCTGTAACTTTAGTTATTCAGAAGATGTATATAGGAGAACTGAACCGAGAACCAAGCTTGACAAGGTAACATGACTATTAAGCTATCAGCGTCTTCTGATGAGGTTGGGTTTAGAACTAATTTTGAAATTCATAAAGTGGTTTTCCGATATTTCAAAACCACTTCTTGTTAATGTTTTAGTATTTAAAAAAATAAAAAACCTACTTCGAATTTCTTTTATAGAAGACCATTTGACCACCTTTTTTATGATATATAAATGAAAAAAAGCATGTTTGTGAAGTGTTTTCATATAAATTAGAAAAGATCTGTTATTCTAAATTATGTTTTACCAAGCAATCACACTCTTGATTATCAAATGTATCGTTAAAATTATATAAATTATTATTTGTTATAAAAATAATGATACACATGTTAGGTAATATCATAAAAACATCGGATCAAGTAATATGTAATCTCGTGTAATATTAATGAATAACTGATATAGTAAAAGATCTATCAAAGTTAGATAAATTTTTAGGATGAAATTTTCTGATAAAGTTATCGCGTGTAGCATTACCCTAATTATATTTCACTGATTGTAACTAAAATCAACTTCATGTGGTATTTCCATGTACTGAAAACTCTGTTGTATTTTTGCACTTCTGTCAACTGTGATAGGTCGGCGGCCTCCCATTTCTACCTTTTCAAACAAATTTTGGATCGGGCCCTATAAATAACACCAACCCAATGCTGTCACATCCTTAAATTTGGCATTTCCGGCAAATGGTCCTTGAAGCAAAATCAAATTGAGGAAGAAGACAGGAAGAATAATAGAAGAACTCTTTTTATACGCAGCTTCAACCCGCGTATGATAACTGATACGATGTTTGAATTGAGCGCAAGCTGACTCGGCCAGCGGTCCAACCTTGTTGGATGGATAAAATCAACAACACAGCCAATTTGGACTAGGGACACTTCATTTTTCTACAATCACCTTTTGCTTGAACCCCAAAAGGCTTCTGGTTTGTCCATTTCTTCTGTTCTCACATGTGCTTAATCAGTTGATGTGGGGTTCGCAAAATACTTAGATCTCTCAAGAATACAATTACATACCAAGAAGTCCTAAGGGGATAGCTAGTTGGTTAGAACTATTGCAGTAGGGATCAAATATCTCAGACAAAATTTAAGTTAAAATGATAACAATAATAATAGTGATGCATTATGTGTTTCCTTTGAATGTGCCGTAATTAGGCAACTTTAACAAGGACATTTTCTGAAAATATGCACCAACTGGATGGATGATGTTTACTGGTGTTTAACACATGACACTATTATTGATGACTGATTGAGATATTTTGAATAGTTTTAAGTAAATACTATTCACATAATTCACCAGTAGGCGAATTTATTGCATATACGCAACGCAACGTAAGATCTAACCGAGATGTCACAACCATATAAATTCTATTATAATATTAAAAATTCAAAATAATTAAAAATTTGTATGGTTGTGGCATATGTCATATCATGATGTAATGAAAATTGTGTAAAAGAATGATGTAAATATAGCATTAATCTTTATTGCACATACGCAACGCAACACAAGATCTAACCAAGATGTTTACACATGCATAGTCCAAGTCTAAAATACAGTTACATCATTTTCTTGAACCACTTCAATTAAATTGATAACTAAGAACTAGTCTCTAAAACTCAAATCGTCAGATGAATTTTTTGCATCCATCTAAAGATTACCATATTGATCATAAATAATAGCATGAACTCTTTTTAACTTTTATAATCTTAACACTGCATGAAAAAAAAAATGGAGACTATGGTTATACAAAATGAATCCAAACTGTATTTTCAATTTTGCATTGAATGATATTGACTGTTTCTTTTTTTTTTTTTTTTTTTTTTCTCTCTCTACATCTCATTTCAACATTCCAATTGCTTTTCATATCCAAATCCAATGAATAAAGAATTATCTAACCAACCATATAGCCAGCCATGTGCCCCCACTGTACAATATTCTACAAAAAAGTATACATTGTGGCAACCCATTAGAAGCTGATCACGTTATATGCCCCCAGAAGTAATAATCGTGCAGGGAACAACAATACTACAAGCAAATGCATATGCTGTGATGCAACAAGCCTGCTCAACCGTTTCAAGGATTCTTTACTTGTCTGTAGGATGCCAGAAAACTTGAATTGGTCTAGGCCTATGCCCAAGTTCACAGACGTCACTGACCTTTCCACAATGATACCAGAATTTATTCTATGCGGTAACACAAGAGGCCACCAAAACTTGCGACGATGCTCTCTCCTGGCCTTCCTGATTTGATTCAGCTCTTGGCGAATCACACTCCGCACAGATCTTAAATAAGAATTCATGTCATGATCCCTTTGAATGGTTCCTTCGGAACCATATGCAGAGCGATCACTTAGGATCTCAAGTGGGTGTGGCGAATTTAAGAATACCAACTTTGCAGCCTGCAGCTGCTTCTCAGCATCACTGGTGTCCAATAACGGGCAGCTTAAGAAATATAACCCACTGCCAGAAGGAAGGAGGGGATGATTGGGAGAAAATTTCTCATCCGGTTGTAGTATCAGTAGCTCCCCCATTGGAGCATATAGTAGCTTCTGTAGTAAGTGGCAGATAAATGAAAGTCAGCTAGTTGAAACACATGATTAACTTGAATGTTACATAAGTTAATAATTCTTTCTGTGACGCTAGAAACTATACCTGGTTATTTAGACAAGGATGATTACGGAAGTTCCCATTAACAGCCTTCAGAAGCTCTGCAACATGATTAGGATAATTACAAGAGAAGGCTCGAGGGACTATATCTCTGTGCATTGTTATTGCCTGAACATGACTTCGTGGCAACCCAAGCTTGCGAAGAAGATGATCACCTCCACACATGATAGACGGTGCACCAAATGTTATCACAGGAAGCAAGGAAGATGCTGGCACTTCACCCCGTATGAGCAACATCAGGTTTATAAGTAGTGACAAGCTGCCCCCAAGAGAATGTCCAGTGAAGCGGAATGTTGCACGGTTACCACTAGCCTTTAGGTGTGCACGAACCTCAGGCAAAATCTGTTCATATATTCCTTTTGCAGCCTCGTATATACCTCTATGCACAAGCACATCGAATCCCTGAAGCAAAATTGCATTTGTCAGTCCTTAAATATATTTAATTGATCACTTATTCATTCTACAAATTGCATGCATGAGAAATCCTTAAAAAGCATTCATCAAATATTACCTAAACGACTCAATAAGAAATCAAACACATCTTCCTCAAGCATCTCAAAGGTTGAGAATTCATAAATCAAATTAAAAATAAAAAAATAAGATTGGAATAGCTAATCAAAATTTGGCAAATATACAGCCTAAAAAATTACCTCAAACTGACAAGGCTCAAAAAGTAAATTTGCCTGCCAAGATGCTAAAGATTCAGACCCCTGCACATAAAATTCAAGTAAATATAAGCCACCTTATGACGAAAGTTGCCTCACATCATTAGTTAGATTGAATTTTAGAATAATCCCATTTTGCCTACCTGAATCACAACGAACCTCGTACCACTTTGATCATCATCACAAATGAACCACTCACAGGGTGATGAACGTGTCGATTTCAAATCATCTGCAACAGCTTGCTTCACTTCCTCCTTTGCAGCAACCACAGCCGTCACTGAATCAGTGGTTGCCATGAAAGAGGCTACTTCTGCATTCATCATATTAATATTGACATCAGTTCTACTGCCCCTTTCTGATAAATCTGCACCAGCCTCAGATTTTGAGGATTTGAATGGAAGAATGCTCTTTGTATGAGAATGCAGATAAGAAGCAGTGGAGGCAGCTATTTGATAAGCAGTAGATGCACTAATTCGATAACCATTGTTCTTCTGCTCCTTGCCTTTGGCCTCATCTTCTGGCTTGCTGTCTGCTTCCTGCTTTTCAGAAGCCACCTGATCCTTCTCGGATTTCATTGCCAAATCTTTTTTCTCTATTGAAGAAGTCACAAACCGTAGTCCACGATATTTGAGTAGATTTCCTGCCTGAACTTACCGAAAAGAAATAAAAAATCGTTAAGCACACAGATTCAAGAGATAAAAATCAAAGCATATCAAATTCAATTTACAGACAATATGCTACTGACAGATGAAATACCAATACAAGGACCAAAAAATATCAGCTATTCAAATAATTAAACAAATACTGAGGATAATAGAGGAAACATCAATGGAGTTTGTATGAACGAAATGCATCAGAAACTGCTCAATCACATCTATCAAACTGTACAAATATCTATATAATCAAAACCCTGCCAAATAAGGTAACCATTTCTTCAACTTTTTTTCCGTCCAACTTGAGAAGGTACTTCGATGTGTTTATATGCATAATTTTGGAACCTCGTTAGCAATGATCTTTTGAACTCTAGAATATACATATTAATACAGGATGTTTCCACCAGATCTTAAGCAAATTATAAATTTTCCAAATACCCCAAGATATTCACGATGGGAACGTAGAGCATTAAAAAAATAAAGGAATTTTCAAAGACTTTTAAGAGATATACAAACTCAAAGCCAAACAGTTTGATTAGATTTCTTTGGACAAGATTCACATCAATTCTCAATGCTTATAGATCATAAAACTATGGACTTTCAAACAGAGTTTTTTTAACGAGAACCATCGAGCAAAGACGTTTCTACCTAAAAAAGAAGAAAAAACTAAATCAGATGCAGTAAATCATACCTTGATTTTTGGAATGCAATAAGCCAAGTTCCCTAAATAGGACATTTGAGCATAGAGCTTGGCTTCAGTTAATGACACCCTCCGTAACAAACTGGAAAAAGATTCTTTGTCAAACTCCAACTCTTCTTCGTCATCATCAATTTTACAAATTTCACATTCCTCTTCATCAACATCTTCATTATCATCCATCTGATCGTCCACCACAACACCCTCTTCGTTCTCCAATCTTTCACCTTGTCTCGTATCGTCTCTGGCTCTCCAGAGAGACCTCACCTGCAGAATCTTCAACACCCAATTCATATCTTGCCCTTCCGCATACGATGTCCCCATTGTCGTTTCATTCTTGCAACCCCCTTCAACAACCGACTTCTCTCCATTCTCCACCAAAACAGCGTCTTCTAATGCAATCCCTTTGTATCTTTTACTACTTCCACCACCACCACCACCACCACCACTTCCCCCTAGCCCCGGCCACAGAGACTTCAAAGGATACCTAAAAGAAAATAACCTAGACGACAACGTTTTATTAGGCGGCGCAGCCCCCGTCGATTTATCCACCGTGGACCTGCCAACTGCACTCCTTTGTTGTGTTGCGTTTGAACGGACTTCGAGGGCCCCACCCACGGGGATCGACGGAGTTATTCCGGAAATCCCGCTTTTCAAGCACAGAGTATCCATAACTTTCGCTCTCTGTTCTGATTCTGTTTCTTTTCTATTTATTTTCCTTATAAATATGTTATTGTTGGAGGATCAGAAAATGCTAATGTACGTACGTGTGTCTCCGAAAAGGATGGCGTTAACGTGCACACACAATCTTTGAATGTTTTCTTCTTCTTATTGTCGTTGCCGCTGCTTCTTGAATCAATTCTTTATAGACTCTTTGAAAGAAAGCCAAGGGGGAGGAGGAGAGCATTTAAAAGCAGCAAACAAGGTTTGGCATGCGTTTGTAACCAAACAGGTCACCCACCCTAACGACATTTATTTCCTTGAAATTCGGGTCTTTTTTTAATATATTATTATTCAAAACCTTTTCCATTAAACAGAAATCTCAAAGCATCAGATTTCATAAACGGCATCGTTTGGGATAAAGTAATGCTTTTTCCGTGTGGCACATGGCCGATAGCCTGTGTCAGGTTGTGCAGAACAGCGTTAGCTTGAGCTTCGTATGAAAGCGCGTGTGAATCATGGGACCCACAACTCAAGACTAATTTTTCCGAAGGATATTGCCACGTCAACGATGTAGATGAACTAAATTGTAGCCAAAGTGACGTGTCCGTAAAGCCTTACGCTTTTCAGTTTAATCTTTAGGTAGATGATCCTCTTTCCAGACTTCTGGCATTACACGCCGCCTAAACTCGACACCTGTCCTTTTAATACCCAATCCATTTTTTCTTCCTCTGGTCCCGTTTTATTCTGTGACGGAAATACCTGATTTACTGAAAAAAGGTTCGTTGTTCAGAAATATGTGCACATTAATAAACAATGGCATGAACATCGCAAGACAATATAATTAAGGATAAAACTGATTTAATAAATAGAAAAATATTATATTACCATTATAAGTCCAAATTAAATATTTAAGTTAGTGTAATTCAACCATATATGTGTATAAACCCAAAAAAAAATTTATATATATATATGGTATCGTAACTGTTCTAACTTGACTAATATAAGTACATGGTATGGTATGAGTCGGTAGGCTTTTAATGCAACGTTGTTTATTGTAACGGTTGGTCGTGGGAATTTGGTTAAGGTTGGACTTAAAATCTTGCAGTTGAGTGTTGACTAAATTGTATATAAAAAAGGTGGTTAGATATTAATAATCCACCGGGGGACCGTTAACTTCATAACTTGTACTAGTTGGGTCTCTCTCATTTATAGTAGCCCTCGCTGGAATCATTCAATCAATTCTAAATTATTGTCTCTAAAGTTGGTGGAAGTTGATTGTAGCACAAGGACTCTCCAATTATTTCACATAATACTTAATTATGATTTGATTAAAGGACTGCCTTCCTTGTTTTACTTAAATTGCATTTTACACGATATTTTGATGGTTACATGAGTAACCGCTAATTGGACAAAACTTTCTCTCATAAATTTTCTTTTACAATCTTGATGTGACAGTTTGTAATTGGTCAGTTCATAACGAGTCATATATGGGTCTTATATAAGTTTCATTAATTAATTACGAACCATCACGTCAGGATTGTGAGAGAAAGTTTATGAGCAAATGTTGTTGGTGTAGTATTACTCCAGAAAAATAGGCCTTATACGTGAGCATGCAATCACGTATTAAAAACATTAAAAAATATTTTATTCATAAACATAAGTAATTTTTAGTACATAATATTATCGTCTCTGCATTTTACTTTAGATATATGTTTTTAATGCACAAAAATATATATGTTTCTCTATGAAGTTTTTTTCTTCTAGCAATAATAATTGCATGTTTAGAATATAAAAAGAAACACAAGTTATTTGATTTTAAAATTAATTTTAAAAAAAAAAGCTAGAACTTTTAAAATAAAGGAAAAAAAAATCATATTTTGCAAAATTTATAAATTTGAAAACAATTTTCTATTATCATATCAAACAAGTTTTATATTTTGAAAAAAAAAAAAATATATATTGAAATACAATGAAGTTACTCCATCCACAAGGCTCAATGAAAGTAAGACCGCACGAAAGAGTTCCGAAAACTAATAAATACTCAAAAAAAATTGCCAAATCTTGACTGAATCTAAACGTTACTATAAAAAGGCTACAACACATATTATCTCACCAATATTTATCTAGTTAATTATAATACAAAGATAATATATTTAAATAATGAATTAAATATCATTTATCACAATTAAAAGGACCTAGCCCATACTCAATTCTATTCTTGTCGCCAGCCTATATTTAAACCAAACATTATGGGCCACCGTGAACATTCCATTGACCCTGCCAATTCCATACCATCCAGGATCAACTCACATAAAATGAATCAATTTAATATGAACAAAAAAATATGGTTTTAAAGAGGTATGACTACATGATGAAGAGTTGGAAGATGCGATGGTGATAGATACTGCTTGGCTAGGGCTTTTACTTTCTTATGGTTGTGCCTTTCTTTAGAATTTTTAGTATTTTTATTTTATGTTTAGATTTATATTTGTATATATATCCCCTTTTTTGAATTATTCAAACATTATTAAAATTCAGTTAAATTTATCAAAGTTTTAGGTGAATTTGTTATTTTATAAAACTCTTGGAGGGCCTTTGGTTCAAGGAATACTAGATTATTGGGAATGTTAGATTACTGGAAAGTTAGATTACTTTGAAGATTACTGGAATCTTTAGGAAAATGTGTTTGGTTAATTGGTGGATATATTATATTAATATGTTTGGTTGGGAGAAATAAATTGGTGGGTATATTATTTAAATTACTGAATTGTCCTCTAATTAAATATTATTATTATATTATTTTTTAACATTGATTATTATAACCCCCTTGCATTTAAAAACTTAGCAAAAGCAACCCCATAATAAAAGTTTGGAAAATCAACAAAGCACTCCCACCAACCCAGCCACTGCTGGCCGTCGGCAACCACTGCAAGCCATCGGTAACCTAACGGCGCACGGAAGGTAGGAAATGACCTCCGTGCGTCGTATGGCCATTTCCAACCAGAATGGTCATATCGGCGCAGGCGGCCATTTTCGATCTTCCATGGGCCGTTCTGGCCGCGGCGGTGGTTGCCGGCGGTAGGTGGGTAGGGGTGGTGGCTTGGGTGGGCTGCAATTTGTTTTGAATTCAAGGGTAATTTTGTCCAAAAAGTTAATTAATTTGGGTGAAATAGTAAAAGCCATATTCATGTAAATAAGTTTAAAAATAAGGGCATCATTATTGTCCTAAAATTTTATTAATAAGGGATAAAATTGTAACAAAAAATATAACCCTAGTAATCTTAGAATACCTAAGAAAATTGAGGTAACAAATTATCTCCAATATTACTAATAGTAATCACTATTGGTATTTGAATATTATCGGTATCTTATATTACTTGACAATCAAACATGGTAATCAAGTAATATAAGATAACTTAACCCTAGTAATCTCACATAACCCCCAACCAAACGCCCCCTTGATATTGATTTCTTACTAAACCTCAAGTATTCTCCAATCTTCCAATGACATCGATAACTGCAATTGTATACGTCATTATTTTCGTACTTTCAAAAAAAAAAAAAAAAAAAAGGTAAATTGTTTATTTCAATTAAATAATATTTACGTTTGACTAATTGAGTTTTTTTATTACACATAATATAAGAAATAAACAAAACAGCCAAGATAGGAATAAGGGGGTGTTTGTCTAAGCTTATAAGCTGGTCAAACTAGTTTATGAGCTCTAAAATTAAGCTAACATGTTTGTTTATAACTTTTTTGAGCTTATAAGCAAAAAAAATTTTTTATTTGCTTATAAGCTATTTTGATCAAATATATTACCACATTATTCTTGTTTAATTTTAAAATTTTATAGTATATCCTTATTTAATGTAGTACCATTTTTAGTCATTTTATAATAAAATGTACTTATAAACCATATTTTACCAAACACGTCAACTACTTATCAGTCACTTATAAGTACTTTAACCAAACACGCAATTGTTTAAAATTTCAAATGCTTATAAGCTAAAATTAGCTTATAAGTACTTGTTGTCATTTTCGATCTTCCATAGGCCGTGGCGGTGGTTGCCGGTGGTAGGTGGGTAGGGGTGGTGGCTTGGGTGGGCTGCAATTTGTTTTGAATTCAAAGGTAATTTTGTCCAAAAAGTTAATTAATTGGGGTGAAATAGTAAAAGCCATATTCATGTAAATAGATTTAAAAATAAGGGCATTATTATCCTAAAATTTTATTAATAAGGAATAAAATTGTAACAAAAAATATAACCCTGGTAATCTTAGAATACCTAAGAAAATTGAGGTAATCAGATTATCTCCAATATTACTAATAGTAATCACTATTGGTATTTGAATATTATCGGTATCTTATATTACTTGACAATCAAACATGATAATCAAGTAATATAAGATAACTTAACCCCAGTAATTTCACATAACCCCCAACCAAACGCCCCCTTGATATTTGATTTCTTACTAAACCTCAAGTATTCTCCAATCTTCCAATGACATCAATAACTGCAATTGTATACGTCATTACTTTCGATATCGCCAATATACTTTTAAAAAAAAAAAAAAAAAAGGTAAATTGTTTATTTCAATTAAATAATATTTACGTTTCGTCTAATTGAGTTTTTTTATTACACGTAATATAAGAAATAAACAAAATAGCCAAGATAGGAATAAGGGGGTGTTTGTCTAAGTTTATAAGCTGGTCAAACTAGTTTATGAGCTCTAAAATTAAGCTAACATGTTTGTTTATAACTTTTTTGAGCTTATAAGCAAAAAAAAAAAAAAAGTTGGGGGTAGGTATTTTTATTTTTTTTGCTTATAAGCTATTTTGACCAAATATATTACCACATTATTCTTGTTTAATTTTAAAATTTCATAGTATACCCTTGTTTAATGTAGTACAATTTTTAGTCATTTTATAATAAAATGTATTTATAAATCACATTTTACTAAACACGTCAACTACTTATCAGTCACTTATAAGTATTTTAACCAAACACGCAATTGCTTAAAATTTCAAATGCTTATAAGCTAAAATTAGCTTATAAGTACTTGTTGCTTATAAGCTATTTTTCATAAGCTCAAACAAACAACCTCTAAGACTGCTTAATTGATTATAAATTGGGGATATTAATTAAGGAGGTGTTTGTAGCTTATAAGCTTTAAAATCAAATTTAATCTGTTTGTTTATAATTTTTTTGAGTTTATAAGCAAAAAAAATAAATTTGGAGAACCAACCTTTTTTTTTTTTTTTTTTTTTTTTTTTTTCCTTATAAGCACTTTGCTTATAAGATATTTTTACCAAATATATTACCATATTATTCCTATTTAATTTTAAAATTCTATCATATAACCTTATTATTCATACAAATTTTTAATAAAATATTTATTTGTAAAGTATTTGTTTATTTAATTTGAAAAATTAAATTAAATTATAATATGATCGAAATATATTTTGATAATATTATAGTAAAAATAACGTAACACCATTTTCAGTCATTTTAATAATAAAATATTAAAATATATTTATAAGTCACATTTATCAAACACGTCAATTACTTATCAATCACTTATAAGTATTTTAACCAAATACATAATTACTTAAATTTTAACTATTTATAAGCTTAAATTACCTTATAAATACTATAAGTATTGGCTGCTTATAAGGTAATTCTCATCAGATCAGCCAAACAAACTCTTACTAGTATATAAACTAAGGGGTCCTTTCATTTCACATGGATTATACGAGAGGGAAAGACCTCAACAGGTTTATCGTCAACTATGTCCAGAGTCCAGATCATCAGGTTTCAAAAATTAGAAAACCCGCCCTAAAATAGCAGGCATTATCGGAATCTTGATTCTTAACCAACAGTTTTATCAGAAGACGATAATACCCTTGAAGAGAGATCTGAGCTTGACTGGAAATCTATTAATAGTATAAAATATATAAAATTAACATTTAAGAAAAATTAAAGAATTTATAACCGATAAAAATCTACACTAATTGCAGGCGAATTGCACAAACACCAATATCAAACTTCAAAAAACAATATTTACAAAGCACAGCACAGATCTCCTTCACAACATAGCCTCATCTCTCACACAACAAAAAAAATTACATAAAGAAAAATCATACACTACAAACCGATATTTATAAATTATAGCCCATCACCAAAAAACCCCCCCAAAAAAAATAAAAATAAAACCAATTTCGAATTACCTTGAATGTTGGAAAAGATAGGTTTTCAAGGTTTAGGCTTTCTTTCTTAATTTGATTTCTATGTGTTAACTACCTGTTCTACCCCTACTTAGGTTAACGTCCGTCAGAATAAGGGGTATCTAAATACAATTATCTCGATTACGTGACAATGAGTCAATGACCCTCATTTGTAAAAGGCAAAACGGGGCGTTGCATGAATAGAGAAGAGAATTGGGTATAAATATCCAGATGCTTCTAGTCTTTACTGAATCTCTCTTTAAACTTCTTCAATCGATTGTTTCGGAGCTCGGCCCTCTACGGTAATCTATAATATACAGGATATATATTTATACATTTTTAAGTAAGAATGAAGAAAAAAAGCGTTTCTTTCATACACGTGTTCTTTCTTTGATAGAAGAAGTCGGATATACAAGCAAATTTATTATCATGTCGGTTCTTGTCCATTTATCTTGATGTTGTAAGATTTATTGCGATAATTTTTCTAGGGTTTTGATTTTTCTTTCCCGTTTCTGGAAATTAACCAATTTAATTTAAGAAATAGAAGAAAACTGATTTATCTGTTTTCTTGTCTTATGTAAATTGTAGATGTTTGTTTAATTTGAACATGATAGCAGATTTTGGAGGAAGTTAGGGTTTTAGTTATAGGTATGATAGAGCTAGTGAGATGAAGAATGATTACTGCTTGTAAATTAGCATGAACAAACGGGAATGTGGTATTAATATTACTGTTGAAATTACATAATTCAGTTATTTTTGTAGTCATATAGTATTTGACGGTTCGATGCAATTGATTTTTGTGACAGGTAGTGAAGGGAGAGACATTGTGCATACAAAATGAGCAACTCTTCTGCTGGGCAATCATCAAAATCAAAAGCAGGATCCTCGCAGCCTAATGAAACAACTTCGTTTAAGCGCAAGCGAGGAGTCTTTCAAAAAGATTGTGAGTAGATGCCTTAACTTTTTGTTTTAAATTTCTTATATTAGTGGAAACCTCTTTTGTGGGAGTTCTATTGCTGTTTTTGTACTTTTATTCATGCACTTTGTTTGGTACTGCAGTGCAGCACATGGTGTATGGTTTTGGCGATGATCCTAATGTAAGTAGCGATTTATGTCTTTCAACTTTTGTTTTTTTTCCTAACGGGTTAGGACACATTGAATTGTGTTGTTGAGAGATGTCAAATTTAATGATTTGGAATGTGTATGTATGCATTTTCCTCTTCCTTTTTTTTTTTTTTTTCTTCTGTCTAGCTTGATATATGTATGAATTTCTTTTGTGTCACTCAGCCGCTTCCAGAAACTGTGGCACTTGTGGAGGACATAGTTGTGGAATATGTCACAGATTTGGTATGCATTCTTTCCAATTAGTACTTTCACTTTCTCTGATTAGATGGCATGGTAGGTGTGATAGCTATGTAATGCCGCTTTTCCTACAGGCACATAAAGCACAGGATATTGGATCAAAGAGGGGAAAGTTATCAGTTGAGGATTTTCTGTATTTAATCAGAAAGGTATCTTTCGTGAGAGCTTGTTAAGTTCACCTGGTTATTAATGGAAAGTTGATATTCCCAATTGGGTTTTCATATTATTTTCTTCTTATTCAACATAAGAAACTTCGATTCACCTTCATAATTAAGCTTCCTCTGAATAAAAAATCTCTGTTGTTTGTGCCCAAATGCCCATTTCTTCTAGACCGTAAAAGAATCTTAGCCCTGTAATTAAATTTTTATATTGAAAGATTTTAGTACGAGATATTTCTTTGGCTTTTGTTGGATATAGGGAGGTGGTAACATTGTAATTGTATTTTTATTGCTATTGTATTTGGGGAAGTTTGGTGGTTGAAATTTTATTCATTGACCCTGCAGGATTTGCCGAAACTTAACCGCTGTACAGAACTGCTGTCAATGCAAGAGGAGCTAAAACAAGCAAGAAAAGCATTTGAGGTTGATGAAGAAAAGCTGGCATCAATAGAGTGATTGATTTGTGACACCTAAAGATGTTTTGAAGACGAGGATAGTTGTGCCATCAGCCATGCAGATTCTTTTCCTTTTAGAAACTATTGTTTTGTTTGTATGTAAAGTGGAAAGGGGTGCTCCTACCAAGTTAGTATGCTAAGGTTTAATAAATACTTGAGCAGTGAGGTAATCTAGTAAATACTTGAGCCGTGAGGTTCTTTTACTGCATGCGTGCTTTATCTCAGGGTTTCTCTTGTTAGAATAACACACTGCTCTGTTTTCACAAGCTACAGTTTTTTTAAATTTCTGGAGCTTTTTTATATTGATATTTTAACCAATTCATAGCTATGGAACGTCATGAAGAACGGAAGATGAACACAGTCCCACGAGAACCAAAGCTTATATGTTATATAGCTAACATGTATTGAAGCACGGTGAAATTTTGCCTTCTTTCAGTTTTATTTCGTCCAAAGCAATCAATTCCTTGCGAAGAAGGCTTCCAAAGCATATGCCGCCTAAGTGTAGATGTAAAACTGAAAAAAACTACGCCGATTATAGTAGGAAGTGGGAACAATAAATTAATTTTAGTCTCGCAATTTTCATTATAGCTCATATGGGCAAAAAATATTATGCCAGGGAGGCCAACAGTATGAAAGACAACGGAAAGTACTACAGCAAAAAGACATCTTTAGGCTCTGCACTACTTGTTAATGAACGGTGGAAACGGGGTAAAGAAGAGAGAGAGTAAAACCTTAGCTCCTGGTTTTCCTATATAATCTTGTCATGTTACACTGGGAATACCTTAGAACCCAAAAAGAAACATTTTAATTCTATATCCTAGCCAAGAACTTCCTTGATCTTCTTCTTCTGATCCTCTGTAAGAGATGTGGGAAATAGAACCTCAAATGTCACATAGAGGTCTCCTTTCTTGTTGCTATAATGCAATGGCATTCCTTCCCCTTTGAACTTTCTCACTTCCTTGGGCTTAGTGATTCCCTGAAGAAGGAACAAAAGTATGTCATCAAATAAGTTTGAGAGTTGATCCCCTCCCAGCTCATTTAATCAGTAACCACAGTCGGATCAAATGGTTTAAAGGTCATGCTCACGCTTACCTTTGAGCTAATGTCAACCAAATGTTCATCAAGGTGCTTAATGGTCTTCTCAAAACCAACAAGAGCTTGAACCTAAAGGAGGCAAGCAAGAAAAAGAACTCCAATGAGACTGGATGTTCTCTTCAAAAAGAGATAAGTACCCCCTACTCTTGTCAAAATATAAATTGATAATAATATTACTAGAAGTGAGATTTACCAGTGTAATAGTGACAGTTGTATGCAAGTCATTTCCTTCCCTTCTGAAGGTATCATGGGGTGCTGTGCGAACACGGAACTGCAGAGAGTGTGAGAGTTATCATCTGTTGCAAAGTGAATATAACAGACAAATTAGTAAACAGTAAACACTAACCTTCAGATCTCCAGGTTCACCATCTATTATTGGTTCACCATCTTCATAGAAAACCACCTCCTGAAACACACATTTGAATTAAAAAAGGCTAGTGAAAAATACAAAAACAATAAATGGGCACGAATAATAGCACCTCATGTTTTCTACAAACTTTAACACACTTTTGAACTATTGAATGATTGAAATTACATCTAAGAAGACGTATTAATGTGCCTTGTGAATGGTACATGTTAAATCTACACAGACAAATAAAAATGTGTTGAACTAATGATTCACGACTTCTGTTACAAATTTTGTAAATAAAAAATGCTACTGATACTAGCCCATATATATTCCACCAGAGTGCAAGCCTATAAAGTGAACAATCTGCTCATACAGAAGGTGTCATTATTGTCTAACAAGGCACACTTCAACTTCTCACAAGAATAGTAAAGTAAAAGGTAACTGTCTTGACTTTTGATAGATACTATGAAAGAAAAGTTCCTGTTAGTTGTGGACTAGAGATGCATGAATTTGGATTCAATTTACACAAGATTGTAAAAAAGTATAAATAAATCAAAAGAGTTTTACAACTGAAAGACATCATAAGTAAACAAACAAGGCGTACAGCTTTCATCATTCTGAGTATCCCTCAAGCGTTTTAGCTGAGCAGAGAACCTAATTGCCTTTTCTATTTGATAAATGATAATGCACTGAAGTAGGGAGGGGGGTGAATGGGCTGCACAGTAAGGTCATTGCTTTCAATCAACTCTTCCAAAGTTTCCCAGGGCAAGATCATTAAGTTTCATGCATTGGGGAAAAGGATACTGGCTGGACTTTGGACTCAAAGGGGCATATACGTGTGGGTGGGTGGGTGTGTGGGTGGGTGGGTGTGTAGGAGAAAAAAGAAAAGGGAACAACAATATTATATGCCCCATAGGATAAAATTCCACATCAAGAAATGATCTCACATATAAAAAATGAACGGTATAAAACTTACTTGTCCATCATGCATCCCTTTTTCAATATCAACTGTGATAAAATATCCCTCCCGCTCATATTTGACATTTTGGCATTGCTCACAGACCTGAAAGATAATAATAGAGAATGTAACAAAGCTGGGAATATATAAGAAAGAAAAGCCAAACTTTCTAATAAGCAATGTGTCCAACAATGTTTTTGCTTTGGCAGATTATAAAATTTCGTAAGCCTTGCTACAAAACTGTCAAGAGGTATATATACCTGCTCAGTCATCTGTTGAAACATCCCTGGAGCAATTTGCTTGTGATACACCTCATTTCTGCAGTTGCACCGTCTCTTGCCTGGAGCTGGCTTTATGATGTTTTTCTCCCGCCAAACCTGGTGAATCCCACAAATATCACAATTGGAAACAAACAAAAAATTAACTAATTTACATTCCCTTTAATTTTCTAATAGTGTCATTTATCTATCTTCTAGCTTCATAAAAAATAAAAAATAAAAATTTGTCCCACCAATAAAACCTCAGACAAGGTGTTAGATATGTAACATTCACATACGCACAAGACAAATTTCTTTAATAAAAATTATAACCAACTTTATATCTTACATTATATGAGACCAACAGATCTTTTTAGACTGTTCTTATGGCAGCTAACAAATCCCCTGTACATGCAAAATTCTTACCTTCAGTGAACCTCCCATGTATAAATCTTCTAGTGTTGCATCCAGCTCAACAATCACATCATCACCTTTAACAATTTTTTCTTCCTCTTCCATTGGACCTCCACCAAAAAATCTAGTAAAAAGCATCATCTTGTCAGCAATGAAAGACTCTTGAACCAAAATTTAATAGTGTTACTGTTACATTTGTTAATATAATTACTACTTGTGAAAAAAAATGCACAACAGAAAAATGATGTTAGTTAACAAGAAATAAATACATTCTAGAAATCTAGCATAACTTAGGATAAATCCGAATTATGTTTGGTAGCATTGATTTGGTACTATGTACAGTTATGTTCAAAGACCTAATAACGAAGGTTGATACATAGATAAAGGTATGTGCTTAATACAGTTATAGTTGCACTTCTGACATTTAACTAAGCACAAAAGACCACAGATTCCATACAATAAAATGTTGCAGTAAATGCGCACTTGATAATTAAACTCCAGCCTAAAGTAAAGAAATTCCTTCTCAGTGATTACTTGTTTTAGTAGTTACATATTAATAGGTAACGCAATAATAGAAAATTTTCACGATTGAATCAATGGAAAAAATGAAAGGATTCAAAATGACATACGAGCTAAAAATATCTTGAATGTTGACGCCCATGCCTCCACCTCTGCCACCACTGGCGGCATGCTGTTTCAGCCCCTCTTCTCCATACTTATCGTATATATTTCTCTTCTCATTATCCGATAAAACCTCGTAAGCTATTAACCAGCCAAATATTTTAAATTTATGATTTCCAAATTCCAAATAATATATATCATAACAAAATTAAACAAGAATAAAAATTACCATTGTTAATCTCAGCGAATCGCTTGTTAGCCTCTTCATTGCCCTGGTTCTTGTCAGGATGATACTTCAATGCCAGCTTTCTATACGCTCTTTTGATCTGCTCGTCTGATGCTCCCCTCGGTACTTGCAATATCTCATAATAGCTCTTCCTGCAACAATTCAAAATACACATTTCAGGTTAACCGCGACATTTTTCAGAAAGAGAAAGAAAGTGATACACATTTAAAAGAATTAGTACCCGGAAATGGTGGTAATGGTGGTAAGAGCGTAACAAAGAACGCATAATAGGAACAAAAGCTTTTTCCTTTGATGCGCCATGAATAAACAGATCAGGAGAGAGTTAAAAATCCCTCCAAAAATACGAATCTAGGGTTTAATTTAAGATCTTGTGAAATTTTGAGAATATGTTATTATCTATAAATCAAGAATGCAAAAGAGATCACAATTATTCGCTAAAACTCCTCTCACTCTCTCTATTATTCAGTTTTTTTCTTTTTTTCCTTCTTTTGTTTCTCCCTGGTCTAGAGTCCCTGAAACTGGGCGTGGAGTTTAACACAAAGTAGGAGGCAAGGCAACGACTTGACTAGCGACTAAGTTTTGCAACGTGTTCCTTGTAGATATTGGCCAATCAGCGTGAGCTAGTGGTTGTTTCAACCAATAGTTATCTGCCACGTGGATGCCCACTTTCGCTGGGGTAGCTTTCTATTTCCTGGAAATTGTTACGTTGTAACTGGGGATCTTAACATATATACGACGTCGTTTCTCTATCCCCTCGAGTTTTGAAAAAACAAACGGCAAACACCTTTACTCCGTTTGGTTCAAGATTGGGAATACTATTCTTGGTATTCCCAAAAAAGTTAAACAGTAAAATACCTAAAATTTCTTATTTTTGGGAATACTATTTTCAATATTATTTAATTTTTTTTTAAACCCTTTAAATTTGTTAATTTAATTAAATACCTGTAAATATTTTTTTAAAAATTACAAAAATACCCCAACAATCCACATTTACCAGATTCCAGCCACCACTATCGAAAAATGGCCGGAATCTGGTAGGATGACGCACTACCGGCTGAATCTGGCCGGTAGTGCGCCGATCTAGCCTTTTCCTGCCAGATCCACCGTGGATCTAGCCGGAAAAGGCCATAGCGACGCATGACCGGCAAGATCCAATCGGTCATGCGCCCATAAGGCGACTCCGGCCACCTCTGGTGGTGGTCGTCGGCTGGGGGTGTTTGAGGGTGGGTTAGGGGTATTTTTATTAACTTTTTTCAAAAAACTT